CCAGAGCTCCCATTTGGTGCACTGTTGTGGTGTTGTTATGTGCTGTCGAGTCAGACCTGACTCATAGCAACCCCTCCTTGGGTTTCTGAGGCAATATCACTACGGAAGTAGATTGCCCCATCTTCCTTCCGAGGAGTGGCTAGTGGGTTTGAACCACCAGCCTTCTGGTTAGCAGTCAACTGCCTTAGGCACTATGCTGCCAGAGCTCCCTCTTTGGTGCGCTAGTAGCTTTTAAATCATTGAAAAGGCTTTGAGGCTTTTCTTTCACAAAAGTACGGCTAAATAAAGCCTTTCTGACTTACCTACAAATTCCACTTCAAGACCAAAAGACAGAGTTAGGAGCCAATCTTACTCATAACCTGGGGACTGCTTCTTGTTGTTGTTATGTGCTGTCAAGTTGAACCCTACTCATAGTGACCTCTCCATGGGTTGCTGAGGCAGTATCACTATGGAAGTAGATTGCCCAACCTTTCTTCTGAGGAGTGGCTGGTGGATTTGAACCGCCAGCCTTCTGGTTAGCAGTCAAATGCCTTAGGCACGATGCTACCAGAGCTCCTGGGGACTGCTTTTATAACCCAAAACCAAACCCATTGTCATCAAGTGGATTCCGACTCATATAGTGACTCAATAGAACTGATTCATACTGACATAACTTTTCCACCATGGAACAGCTGGTGGTTTTGCGCTTTTTTGTCTTAGAGAAAACCATTCATCTCTCATTTCTTTTTATTTTCATCCTTGCAGGACTTTCACTCTGATTATGTTTTAATTGCCTAGCAGTTTTCCATTCTACATTGCAAATGAGAAAGAAAAAGGGTAACCAGTTAAGTTTTTATTTTTTATTGCAAAGTCTTTGATCGATTGGGGGTATCTGTGTGTGTGAGAAAAAAGAAGAGTGAGTTTGGACTCCCTGATTTGTATTTCTCCTAAGATTTTAATTTCTGGAGAAATAAGAATTGGAAGTGTTGTTGTTATGTGCTGTCAAGTTGGACCCAACCCATAGCCACTCCTCCTTGGTTTCTGAGGCGGTATCACTACAGAAATAGATTGCCCAACCTTCCTTCTGAGGAATGGCTGGTGGGTTTGAACTGTCAGCCTTCTGGTTAGCAGTCAAGTGCCTTAGGCACTATGCCACCAGAAAAACATGAATTTAGAAATGTGTGCTGAACATGTAAGTTGTTAGGTCTGAAGATAGAGAATTGAAAAAAAAAAATGTCTGTTTTTAATGCTTAGTTGTTGGTATGAGGGATGGCTGGTAATAATTTTTTTTTAAGATATAAATCATGTATTTAAGGAAGAATCATAAGCAAGATACTCTGTAGTCTTTGAAGATATTTGGTTTTGAATAACCAAAAATATTTTCATATGTACCTTTTATTTGCCAATCATAGCTAACTTTAGGCCTGGGACCCAGTTCTGTGTATTCAAGTCCTTGTAATCTCTAGGACTAAATCTTGAAGCGACTTTCTTCCCATTTGGATCTCATTTTCTTAAGAAATTGTTGTTTCACATCTGATGTTTTAGAGAAGATAGGGTCAGCCTTAATCAGAATTTAAAAATGAGTAGATTTATTAATTTTCTTCTTTCTTTCACTTTTTTTTAATTGATATTTGATTTAATTCTGGAAAAGTATATAAAACATTTTAAGTGTTTGAAGAACAGTTTTAAAAGCAACATTTTCTTAACCATCATCCAGGTCAAAATATAGAATATTATTATCATTCTAGAAGTTTCCTGTTTGTTCTTCCCTGATCATAGTACCTCCTACCCTAGAGTAAATGCTCCTCTGAGGTTAATCACTCATATATAACTCCTGTGATAATAACTCATAAGGTTTTCCCTGGCCAGTTCTTTGAGAAGTGGACGGCCTCTTCCTTCTTCCTAGTCTGTCTCAGTCTATAAGCTGGGCTGTTACCTGTGCACCAGGTGCATTTCGCTGGGTTTCAAACACCAGAGGCACAGTCTCAAAACTCACGTCTACATGTCACCACAGTAGGACATACCGACAGACAAGTTTGTCTTGCTGTTGGAGACCTCTCGTATCAC